TGGCAATAGCTTATTTCAAGCCTTCGTTCCTCTTAAGAGAGCTGCTTCAAGTTCATGTCCTGTCGGGGTAGCTTAGTGATGCCATTTTCATAACTTTGTTTTTTTAAGAGAGATGTTGGGTTGTATTCTTCGGAATTGCTCTCTGAATCAGATAAATTCTTAAGTCCAGCGTATATATTGATATTTGAGTATAATTCATTAAACTTACTGATAGCATATGAAGCATTACTAGAAAATGAAATAAAGGAATATAGGTACGTGCAAAAATTAATATTGTACTTTATGTGCATCAAAGGGCATTTAGTTTTCTTTTAGAAGACGTGCAGGCTTCTTTCAGTGTACTTAGAGATGGTGCAGCTGAGTCCTGGAGATACTAATAAGCGGTCCAGTGAATAATTCCCAAGCTCAGACTGGGCTTTGAGTAAGCTGATGTAGAGATAGCGCCTTTTCCTCCTGGAAGTGTACGGTATCGAGAAGTGTGTTTTCCTCGCGTGACTCCCAAACCATTTGTCATTAATATATGGTGGAAGGTTACATTCGAATATTTTACTACCAGGGAAATGTGTTTATTGAAGTTCTCAATAGTTTGAAAATACTTAAATTTCATATTCATGTTATTGGAAGACAAAATAATACAGGGCTGAAACATTTAGTCTTAGAAATATTGCTTCTCTTTTGCATAATAGTAGCAACTTTTTAAATTCATTATGCATTTTCTTTCTTTGTAGTTGTTATTTATATAGAAATGACCTGACTAAAAAGCAAAAACACAGGTGTGTCCTTGTAGTTTTCTATATCCTTACACAAATCATTATAAATATAGTCTCTCTTTATTTCGAAATATAAGTTAGCCTTCCAGCCATTTTTTATGAACATGTATTAATAATACACCGAGTAGAAAAAATGAACTTCGGGCCCACTTTATATGTGGCTGATCTGTAAGACAGCATTGTTGGAGCCAAAAGGATGTGGTTCGTTATTCTGGTGGTGTGATGGATGGCACTACTGAGTTCTGAAAAGATAGTTTCTCATTGATTTAGCATTGTTTCTCACACAGTTACAAAGAAGACGATGACTTCGAGACTGACTCGGATGACCTCATTGAAATGACTGGGGAAGGAGCTGATGAGCAGCAGGATAATAGTGAAACCATCGAAAAGGTCTTAGATTCAAGGCTCGGGAAGAAAGGAGGTGTGTGTTTTTGAGAAGCAAATGACTACTATGTCTGCCCAGTAAGGCCTACGTTTTATGTGTTTTAACTCTGAAATGATGAATTTCAGTTCATGCCCATATTTGTTGTGAAAGGGGGATGTTTTCTGCCTTAGTCTTCATGTTTCAGAGCTGAAAATACAGGGATGTGTTTTAATATGTCTTTGAGATTTCAAAATTAAACTAGTAAGGTCGTGTTAGTATCTTAAAAAGCAGCATTGTAGCAGAGGTTCTTGCTTATTGACATTAAGCAAATAAACCTTTAGCTAATTGTTTCTCATTCTCCTTGTGAAAAGTATGAAGCTGGTTAAATACCTATTGGGCGATAGTGAATAGTTTTTTGTGTTTAAAATGAGAGATCTCATAACTCAGCTTCTTTAATCTTTCCATGGAGGAGATGGCGAAATAACACCTAATTCCTTTTTCTTTGTCTCCTTTTTTCATCCAGCCTTACTTGAGGTTGAGGGTTAACAGCACTTTAGGTGGATGGGCAATTGGTGGGGGAATTTTTTCTTCACCTTATTTTTAATATTCCTGGGGGAGTGGTTTTGTTTTCTATGTTAGTAGGGATCAAAACAAAAGGATGTTGCTGTTCCATTTTTATTGTGTTTGGACACAAAGATTTCTTTGATTTCACTAGCAAATTTTGGAATACATTTTAAAGCATAAAAATTGGGTTTGCATTTTGAAAATATTTGAAATTATCAATCTCGTGTATTCCGTATTTGTGGATTTCTACTACTTTCAAGTTAAAGGATTTTGGTGCTTTATCTAAAAAGAGATTCTTTAGACAGTTCATACTTGGGAAACTCTTCAGTGTCTGGTTTGATATACTTTTTAAAGTTTATTAAATACTGAATCCTTTTGTAGCCACTGGAGCTTCTACTACTGTATATGCGATTGAAGCTAATGGAGACCCCAGTGGTGACTTTGACTCCGAAAAGGATGAAGGCGAAGTGCAGTACCTCATCAAGTGGAAGGGTTGGTCTTACATCCATAGCACTTGGGAGAGTGAAGAATCCTTACAGCAACAGAAAGTGAAGGGCCTGAAAAAACTCGAGAACTTCAAGAAGAAAGAGGATGAAATTAAGCAATGGTACATTTTCCATCACGGATTAAAAAAATATATGTATACAGCCTGAGGGAAGGGAGGTCCAACCCTAGACACACACCTTCAGTGTAACAGGATCAGGTTATTGTGTCGTGAATAGGGACAGATGGGTTCTAATTCCTTTTCAGTCACTGTGGAAAATGTGCTACTTTTTCATATTTTTTCCTAAATCACATATTTTCCCTTTGAGTCAAAAATGAAAATATGTATCTGCAAGATGGGTAGGTCAAAAAGCATAGAAGTTTAAAATTCTCAGAAGTGTAGTAATAGCTAATTTGAAGTTGCTGCTGTTGTCCTTTTATAAAGGTTTGGTGTTAATAATTATTTTTCCAAAACCACATTTCAGTCACTCTTAAAGCCCATATGTGTGTGTGTGTGTGTGTGTGTGTGTATATGTGTGTGTGTATGTACATACATGTGTGTGTATGTATATATATATGTATACACGTTTTTATATATATATATATAGATACGTTATATATATATATTTTAAAAAAATACTCTCTTTTAAATCTGGAAGTTTTATTGTCATGGTCTGTTTAGATATATGAGTTTATCACACAGAATAGTTACTTTTTAGATGTTTTTTAATAGGCCACATGAGATAGGGAGAGCAAGTGGTGTGTCTTGGGTCCAAGGCTGTCAGCATTTCCTAAAAGTGTATGTTTTTGTAAAATCTCTAATTACTTGTAAAGGATTACTAAAAGGATAGGTAGAAGTAAAGACATGATTCCTTTCCTGCCTCTGACTTTGCTCTGATGGACGTGTATGAACCTCCAAAGGTGATGAGTGTGTACTTCTCTCTTCTCTACAGGTTAGGGAAAGTTTCTCCTGAAGATGTGGAATATTTCAACTGCCAACAAGAGCTGGCCTCGGAGTTGAACAAACAGTATCAGATCGTAGAAAGAGTAATAGGTGAGTACGTGGACACTTATTTTAGTGGTGTTTGAGCTCCAGGAATAATGGCTTTGCTTTTGGGACTGATGTAAATAGTTCATTTTATATGTTTACTTCCTGAGAATAGACAGATGTCTAGATTTATTTTGAAGGAAAGGCTAATGAGGTTTTCTGGTAAATTTGGTTGTGGGGGAATGAGAAAGAGATGTCAAAGATGATGCCAAGACTTTTGACCTGAGGAAATAGGAGAATAAAGGTCCCATTTATGGAAACAAAGTGTGCAGGAAGAGCTGATTTTCAGAGCGGAAACGAGATTTAGTCCGATACACTTTTTAGCCATCTAGATGGAGAGCGTTGTGAAGGTGGCAGCACACGTGAGTCTGGCTGGTTAGAACTTTTAGTCTGAGCTGGAGATTTACACTTGGCAATTCATCAATACATAGGAAGTATTTAAAGCCTAAGATTCAGTGAGATCATCAGAGATAACATACACGGTGAGAGTAGGAAATCGGAGAGCATTCTAGCTTCTGGAAGCCAAATCAGTAAAGGAGACGAGAAAAGACAGCGAGATCCCGGAGCCGAGAGAGCGTGTTCTGCAAGGCAGGCGATGCACGTGGCCCGGGACGGATCGGTGAGGACTTGACACTTGATCCTTGAATCCGGCAGTGTGTGTGGCGTTGAAAGTGGATCATGGCATGGTAGGGGTGCAGGCCTGGTGAGGGTGGCTTCAAGGGAGAATGGGGGAACCGTGAGTGAAAACGGCACTTCTGGCGAGTTTTGTTGTGGAAATGGGGTGATAACTAGACAGGGCTGTGGGGACAAGGCCGTTTCTTCTTTTTAAGACGCGAGGTAGTAGAGTGAATAATCTTATTCACAGGACCTCAAATGTCACTCTTCTTGGTTATGGTGATAACTGATCCATCTTGTTTTCCATTTGTGTAGCTATGAAGACAAGCAAATCTACACTGGGTCAAACGGATTTTCCAGGTAAGCAAGAGATCTTGTTTACGTTTAGCATTTAAGAGCAGTTTGTGTTTTCCAGAATATTTACAATTTGGCCGCATGGCATTTCATTAGTTATATGTAAAACTGAACGGATTGTTGCTGACCTGTATATATTTATATACGAAATAGCTCACAGTCGGAAGCCGGCACCTTCAAATGAACCTGAATATCTATGCAAATGGATGGGGCTGCCCTATTCAGAGTGTAGCTGGGAAGACGAAGCCTTGATTGGAAAGAAATTCCAGAGCTGCATTGATAGCTTCCATAGTCGGAACAACTCAAAAACCATCCCGACAAGAGAGTGTAAGGTGCGGTGATGGCTGCCTTTGTTATTTTCAGGGGAAAGATGTATTGATATGGAGTGCTGGTCACATAGCTCTCGGGAACAGTAAATATCCCAAGCGGAAATGGTAGTTCCCATCGTGGAAGTGAGAGATCGCTTAACCTTGACACCAGAGAAAAATAATGAGAGAGGACGAGTTGTGCGATGGCTTTGCTGACTCCTTAAATCTTGCAATTTACAGAATTAGATATATCTGATCAGGAATACGGTAGAGAATACTTGAAAGAATTTAAACACTTTGAAGTGAAGTGATGGGAAAGGGGAGTGTTTCTGGAGTTAGAAACCAATATATCTGCCCTTTTATTTGCTAGGTTGGTTGGTTTCCTTGGTCGGAATTCCTAACATGCGTAATGTGGTGTCTTTGGGTCCTCAGTAATGAAAGTATATGTAAGACATGGGCTCTGCCTCTGAGAAGTTGACATGCAAGTTCATGGCACCAAACAAACCTCTATGTGAAAAGTAATGTGTCGTTGAGGGTCAGTGAGTATGATAAAGACTGTGGTCAGAGAAGTACAGAGGTGGAAGTCACTGAGCTCCAGGAATGACTGAAGGGGTTTTAAAGAGGAAGTTGTGGTCCTTTAGCTGCCCTGGTCCTTGGGGACTGGATTGGTGCTGGGTAGACAGACAGCAAGGCCCAGGGCGTTGTCCTCTGTGAAATCTATCAAGAAGAAGATGTTCCTCTCATGTAGGTAGGAGGACTTCGAGACCTTGGGGTTGGAAGAGAGGGAGGCGATGTTGATCAGTACACCTAGGTTAAGGCGTGTATGTCCGGAATACCTAGTGGAATATTTTGATTTTATCCTGTGGGTATTGATGTGCTTTCCATACTGAATTAGAGCAGCAAGATGGACAGAGTGTTTTGTTTGGAAAGCTTCCTCTAAAGGCAGTGTGTAGGAAACTCCAGGGCAAGCAGTTGTCAAAGCCAGAAGTCCAGCCAAGATGATGCGTGAGGACAAGGGAACTAGCAGCAGGGACTTCTGTGGCCAGAAAACTTTGGGAAGTATTCCTAAATGAACTTCTCCCATAAATGCACAGTATACACAAGCATGTTAGACTTTGAAAAGGTCACTAGTAATGGAGTTTATACAACTTTTTAATCCATTGTTTCGCAAACTTGATGCGGCCACAGTATCCATGTTTTGTGCAAACCATAGAGACTTGGCCTTACTAGCCCGTTATTTCTGACACCTTTAGGGTTATAAACGTTCTTTCCTTCAGAAAACCAAATTCATGCAGTTGGGGTTTCAAGGTAGGTGGACTGCATTTCAGACTTTACAATGGTGAAGTTTCGCTGCATTTAGCATATACAGATTTTCCCAGAAGCATTGACTTTGTAGTGTTGAGTAAGACCATCAAGACGAAAATAGGAGACTCACTGCCATACAGTAGAGATGAGGTAACGGACGTGCCATTTAATGATGTTCACAGACTTCGGAAAGGGGCAAGTTCACTAAAAATTTCCAGATGCAATCTGGTTTGGGAATATGGACCTCGATGAAAGCAGGTGGGGTGAGGTGGGGTGGGGTGGGGTGGGGTTGGTGATGTGAAACTTGAATTTTTGTTTTGCTGCCGAGCACATAAATGGTGGCTAGCATTGTAACATAGAAACAGGAAGAAAGTTTTCTCCAGGCCCCGGGCTTTGTTACGTTTTGTTTTTCAGGCCCTGAAGCAGAGACCACGCTTTGTAGCTTTAAAGAAACAGCCGGCATATTTGGGAGGGGAGAATCTGGAGCTCCGTGACTATCAGCTAGAAGGTCTCAACTGGCTTGCTCATTCCTGGTGCAAGTAGGTAGAAAAATATGTTTGGAATCATCTTTACCGTTTTTTGACTTCTTTATTGTTAGACACAAAGAATTACTTCTTTCTACTGTATATAATGGAAATGAAACAGTTACATAATTCAGGAGTCCCTTCTGGGAGTTTTTATGTAAGTGTGAAACATTTTAACCTGAAGACAGTATAGTCAGCCCTCCGTATCTGCAGATCCCACATCCTTAGATCCAGCCAACTGCAGATCAAAAATATTTGGGGAAAAAAGTTACATAACGGCTGACATGTACTATGGTTGCATTTGTACTAAACATTTATAGGCTTTTTTTCTCAACATTATTCCCTGAGCAACACAGTATAACTATTTGCATAGCATTTATACCGTATTAGGTATCGTAAATAATCTAGAGATGACTTAAAGTATATGGGAGAATGTGGGTAGGTTACGTGCAGATACTGTGACTTTTTACATAAGGGACTTGAGCATCCTCAGATTTTGGTATCCACGGGAATCCTGGAACCAGTCCCACTCAGATACCGAGAGAAAATTGTACTTTATTTAGTTATCTGAGGGTAATTTGTCATAGTCAGAGGCCTGTGTCAGAATATGTTATTCAGGAGTCTAAGTAGCAAAATAACATGCCCCAGTCTTCGGTGTGGAAGGAGTTATTCTTGGAAGAAAAGAAAATGTCTTTTTCCCATGCGTTTTGTTTCTAGGCCAGGGAAACCCCAGCTTCATTCCTATAGGAATGGGAAGAGTAGTGAGGTTCCCACCCCCTCTCTCACCTGAGATTGCTGCGCAGGCTTCTCACATAGAGGAAGGTGGAACCTCTGAAATTATCCTCACTTTTGTAACAAAACCACTTTTATCTTGGAAAAAAAAAAAAAAAAAGAAATGGAACATTGGTAGCATTGGTCTAATTTCAGAAAACAAGCAAGTCATTTCGGATCTGCTTTACTGTGCGTGTAGGACAGTAGCAGTTTGCTAGGGAGAGGAGATGTTGGAGAAATCCACCGTTTTCTCCCCATTGGCGAGGAAAGGGGAGCGAAATAGGAGGGATCACTCAGGAATATGCAGTGTCTGAACAGTACGTGAAATTAAATGTGCCTGAGGCTGGTAGAACATGGCCTCCTTATTCTCCCTTCCCCAGGTACATGCTGCTTTGTTCTTCGCTGTACGTCCTCCGTAAAACTAGCCATTCTGTGTAGAGCAGAATGCATTTTAAAAATTGTGATCTCTTCTTGGTGAATTAAAAATCTTATTTTTCTGATCAGTTAAGCTGTCTTGTAGATTACTTCCAGTTCTCTGTGGTTCCCTGATTTAAGCATATGTTATATATGTGTAAACCTCCAGTGGCCCAACTTTCAAGAACCTTTAATGTTTGCAACCTTATGTCATACACGTTTTCCTAATTTCCTGCCAAATGGGCTGTTTTCTGTTTCCTGAACATACTTTCCTAACTCTGGCCATTTCTTTAATTTTTTTTCTAATATCTGCACAGTCCTCTTCCTGTTTGTATCCTGTTGAAATCCAGCTCATCTGCTAGAGCCATGTTTCTCAAAGTGTGGTGCAGGAAACACACCTGCATCAATAT